AGCACGGTCGTGTAAAATCTCTCGAAAATGTATACTTGCGTGGTTATGTTATCGCTGATACATATTTCATACGTATTACGTCATAGTTTATTCGACATGTAATATAAAGAATAATAAAAATCCTTGATATGAGAAATTATATAATATACGTATAGCGGCGCTAAAAATGCTTGAAAGCTGTCAAAGTTTTAAATCGTACAGAACATTTGCATTCGTACCATTTAAAGGTATAGAATATTTTCTTTTTATTTTATGCTTAAATACATGTTAAATGCAATTTCCTCGATATCCATTGCTTGTATACTAAACCTTTGGGCTGATGACAGTCATTGCTTTAACACATTGCATTACAATTATTGCTTGTATGATCCTTAAATATGTCCATATGTCATCAAGGACAGTATTGTACATAGAAGAATGTATATTTTTAGACTGTAAAAATTAAATAAAAAATGAGATGTTTGGTGATTGGTATACTAAACTGAATGAATTGAAGTTAGTTTTGTTTTTCTATTTTATAACGTTTGAAATTTAAGTTATTTATCAATTTCAGCTTAAGTTTGCTCTAAACAGCCATGACAATGTCCGTATTATAAGCAAAAAAACTTGAGGTACCACACGGACAAATCTTCAAAAAAGTTGTCTCTTCATTGAAAAGTGTGAATTATATTTTGATAATTTTCATAGTGAAATGTCAAATATAATTTTTACTAATTAAATCCTGCGTCACATAACACTCCGATTTGGTTTACGATGGAGTACCGATGACTGAACGGGCTGAAATTGACAATTATTTTAAGGTCTCCGGCCGGTGACCCTCCGGTGTCAAGTCACTGGTGGGGGGGACCTACGGGTTTAAAAAGGGGAAATTTTTGTGCAGAGTTTTTTTCTTCCCCGGGATTTCCCGGGAGCATCGCAAAACGCAACGTAAACTGAAAACGGTTAAAAAACCCTACGTTTCCCGCCCGGACACCTTTTTCTAAAACGGTTACAATACCGGTTAGGGAATTTTTTTTCCTCCTTGGCACCAAAAAATTTCCCTTTAGTTTCCGGAAACGGAAAATTTTTAGCGGTCACCGAAAGGCCCTCTCGGCAGGGTTTCTGACCGGGGGCCCGGGGTGGGCCCCAGTAAAAGTCCATTAAGGTTCCCCCAAACTGCCCCTAAGGATACGTTGGGGGTTAAATTAAACAACCTTTACGGCAAAGGTAAAGGCTTTGACCCCGTGTTCAATTCTCGGACCGAACGGTTAAAAGGTCACTTACGTTGGTACAGATGTTTAATCATAACCCTTTCCGAAAAGTGAAAAGAGATTATTTCTGTTTAAGAACTGCTTGACAGAACTTGTCGAGGAAACGATTCGGTGGCTGAACCTGTGCTCTGGCTATTTATATTCAAGTTGGTTTTACTTGGGCCCAAAAGTCCTCAGGGTAAATCAAATTTAATAACATCAAAATCAAATTCTCTTCATTAAGCAAGCGTGCAAGAGCTGAGATCGGTTAAAATCGCTAGACTTGTAATATGTAAAGTTGTGGGTTGATTTCCCGCGGGATGAACTCAACTGAAAATTAGCTTAGGAATCTTTCAGAACGAGACCCTTTTATAGCGGAGGTCCCGTGTATGAGTTGTTTCAAAACCTTGGATTAGGTAAAAAAAGAAGGAGAAGGATTGTTTGGGGGTCCTGCTTGGCCCTTTGACGTTGGTCATCCGGTGTTTCTAGATAGTGTCGGGGTTGCATTCATTGAACTTATTGATCTTGTTTTTCATATTTTTCTGAAATTAGGGCATCTTGCTATCTGTATCTTGCGATGTCCTCCAACATCTAGAACGATTTATACTCTTCTGGAGGACTCTCCTATACGGGCAACCGATGGCGAGTATTTAGAAACTCAATAACACACACATATTCTCTCAGTTTTCACACACATCCATGGATGTTTATACAAGTTTTCAAGTTTCATTTACAATCTTTGATGGACATTTTGATTTCAGAGTGTAATATACCTTCCAAAACAGAAAGCAAAGAAGGGGTGGGGGAGAAATCAGAGAAGAAGGCAAGGAAAAATGCCAACAAAAGATGGGGTGTAAATAACGGCCGGAAAATAGGATAGCATGCCATACGAATACCGTCTGACAGCCGACCAGATATCCCACGTATACTTTACCGTCACCGTACGATTATTGCAAACAGGCCAGATAACGGAAGGCAATTGGACATTTATCGTATGGTAGTCTGCCAGGTACCTTTAGAATATCGACCAGTGTCCAGAAAGAGACGCCAAGGGTTTTCACCGGGTGACAACTCTACGGAAACCGTCCGAATACCTAACTGACCACAGAGGGAGAATGACCGCCCACTTCTTCCCGGACATGATTGAAATGTTTCTCTCCAATCTCAAGTTATCAACGTTGTCCCATCGATCCCTCTATATCTGCCGGTCCCCGCTTGTAATGTGACGTAGGCATTATAAGTAATCCACTCAAAAGCATAATATAAAAATATGTTTTTATTATAGAATACATAAAAAATTTGACTGCTGTTTCTGTTAGAATGTACAAGCAGTAGTAGCCGTAATACTGCTGCTCCTGCCAGAATGTACCAGCAGTAGTAGCAGTAATACTGCTGTTCCTGCCAGAATGTGCCAGCAGTAGTAGCAGTAATATTGCTTTTTCTGTCAGAATTTACCAGCAGTGGTAGCAGTAATACTGCTGTTCCTGCAGAATGTACAAGCAGTAGTAGCAATAATACTGCTGTTCCTGCCAGAATGTGCCAGCAGTAGTAGCAGTAATACTGCTGTTCCTGCCAGAATATACCAGCAGTAGTAGCAGTAAAACTGCTGTTCCTGCCAGAATGTGCCAGCAGTAGTAGCAGTAATATTGCTGTTTCTAACAGAATGTGCCAGCAGTGGAAGCAGTAACACTGCTGTTTCTGCCAGAACATACCAACAGTAGTAGCAGTAATACTCCTGTTTCTGACAGAATGTGTCAGCGGTGGTAGCAGTAATACTACTGTTTCTGCCAGAATGTACTAGCAGTGGTAGCAATAATATTGCTGTTTCTAAAAGAATGTGCCAGCAGTGGTAGCAGTAATACTGTTGTTTTTGCCAGAACGTACCAGCAGGAGTAGCAGTAACATGCTGTTTCTAACAGAATGTGTCAGCTGTGGTAGCAGTAATACTGCTGTTTTTGCCAGACAGTACCAGCAGTGGTAGCAGTAATACTGTTGTTTTTGCCAGAATGTACCAGCAGTAGTAGCAGTAATACTGCTGTTTCTAACAGAATGTGCCAGCAGTAGTAGCAGTAATACTGTTGTTTCTGCCAATGTGTACCAGCAGTGGTAGCAGTTATACTCCTGTTTCTGACAGAATTTACCAGCAGTGGTAGCAGTAATACTGTTGTTTCTGCCAGAATTTACCAGCAGTGGTAGCAGTTATACTGCTGTTTCTGCCAGAATGTAAAAGCAGTGGTAGCAGTAATACTGTTGATCTGCCAGAGTGTACCAGCGGTGGTAGCAGTAATACTGCTGTTTCTGCCAGAATTTACCAGCAGTGGTAGCAGCTATACTACTGTTTCTGCCAGAATGTACAAGCAGTGGAAGCAAGTAATACTGTTGATCTGCCAGAGTGTACCAGCAGTGGTAGCAGTAATACCGCTGTTTCTGCCAGAATGTACCAGCAGTGGTAGCAGCAATACTGTTGTTTCTGCCAGAATATAACAGCAGTGGTAGCAGTTATACTGCTGTATCTGACAGAATGTGCCAGCAGTGGTAGCAGTACTTTGTTGTTTCTGCCAGAATTTACCAGCAGTGGTAGAGGTAATACTGTTGTTTCTGCCAGAATGTACCAGCAGTGGTAGCAGTTATACTGTTGTTTCTGCCAAACTTTACCAGCAGTGGTAGCAGTTATACTGCTGTTTCTGCCAGAATGTACAAGCAGTTGTAGCAGTAATATTGTTGTTTCTGCCAGAATGTAACAGCAGTGGTAGCAGTTATACTGCTGTTTCTGCCAGAATGTACCAGCAGTGGTAGCAGTAATACTGTTGTTTCTGCCAGAATGTAACAGCAGTAGTAGCAGTTATACTGCTGTTTCTGCCAGAGTGTACTAGCAGTTGTAGCAGTAATACTGTTGTTTCTGTCAGAATGTGCCAGCAGTAGTAGCAGTAATACTGTTGTTTCTGCCAGAGTTTACCAGCAGTGGTAGCAGTAATACTGTTGTTTTTGCCAGAGTGTAACAGCAGTTGTAGCAGTAATACTGTTGTTTCTGCCAGAGTGTACCAGCAGTGGTAGCAGTAATACTGTTGTTTCTGCCAGAGTGTAACAGCAGTGGTAGCAGTTATAATATTTCTGCCAAAATTACATGCTGTTATAGCAGTAATTCTTCTGTTTTCTGCAGATTGCACCAGCTGTAGTAGCAGAGATATTTTGTAAATAATGTATCTGAGGAGGAAAATCAGTTGTATAATGGTAATCATATATTTTTAGATACGTTAAAAAAAATATGTTCAAATCAAATCAAATATCAATATCAAAAATAATACACAGGTTAAAACTTAAATGTATTTATCTAGAAACTAAACATTTAACAAGAGGATGCCATTGCTTAAATTTGCTTTTCGGACAAGTTATTGTTACATGTAAATAAACGTTTAGTTACTCACAGCCTGTTGTACAGTAACATACTTGCGGCTCATAATTATTTTTTTGGCTTATACTCTGTGGACTTTGCACGAAAGTAATTATCATCACTTTGTGCTTCAAATTTAAATCATTTGAGAGCATGACTTGTGACATGGAATGCCTGAATAAATGATTTTTTTAAGAATTGAACTTTTATAAAATGATATGTATAAGGAGGCTAGGAATAAATAAAAAATGTGAGCGGTGTGCAATAATTGAATCATTTGAAAAAAAAGAAGAAAATGATTGAAAAGCACGTTTACACACACTCACACGCAAGCACGGACGCAAGCACGTACGCACACACAATAATTTTGGATGTCTTACCTAGTTTGCGCTTCTGATAGTTGTCTGGTGCTGGCAACTGTTTTTCTATTTCAGCTATTTTGTTATGAACCGCTTCCAATCCTTCTTCATACTGTTTCCTGGTTTCGGCTAGTTCAATGTTATGTGCCTTAATTTTCAGTTTCATTACTTTTTGATCTGTTTTCAAAAGCTCTAAATCAGGTTCTACAGATTTGTCGAATTTCTCCCATTTATCAATTTCATCTGTTACTCGCTTCTCTGTGTTTGGATCAAGAGGACTGAATTGAAAGTCAGTAATCGTCTGCTGAAAGTCTTTGATTGGATACACCTTATTAATTCTTAGGAGGATCTGGAATGAAGGCATTTTTTAATACTTTAGAGAAATTCCGCATACATATGTTAAGATAGTTGACATATATAACGGAAACAAAAGTCCAATATTCTTTAATTTCTATTTCGTGTCTTAATTAGAGGAAACTTTTTCATCAGTTCCCATATATTTAATGTGAACAATGTTGACTATGTCAATAATGACATGTATTTGCATGGAAGTAACGGTAATATTCTTCCACTGGGCAGTGCTTTTGACGAAAAACAACAGTAAGCAATACTTTTAACGCAATATTAAATGTTAATACATTTCGGCAAAGAAATGTGACTTCCAGATTTTTATAAAAACAGTTAATGTTTGTTTGAGGCTTTAATAACTATATGTTGTTTCTTTTTTTTTTCCTTGCAAAATTTTAATCATTTTCATAATATGGAATAACCAACCTTCACCGCATAAGGAGAAAATACTGAATTTATGTTTAGTGCAATTTCTAATTATTCAACAAGATATCATTTATCTTATACCTGTTCGATTTCTTTCCACTGTGTTATAAAGTCATTATGTTGCATCCCTGTAGTTGTCGATATGTGACAAATCTGAGGATATAAAAAGAATTTTCCAAGACATATATATATATATGTATTTACGCTGAAAAATTACAACATTTTAGAATTAAATTTAATATACTATATTGAATTATAAAGTCTGATATGAAAACATACCGCGTTCCTGTGTTTCTTCAGTCTAAAAATGTCTGCCTCGATTGAAGTGTCATTTTGTATTGGTGGTATGTTCCAATTAAACTTTGAGTTTAATTTGAAACACTTCAGATTTCTCATGAGACAAATAATAAGTGTGATGTCCAAATCTGAAGTTAAAACAGTGCCACTTGATGGATACAATAAATCATATTGCACCTGTGTTATTATTCCACGTCCCTTCAAAAGTTTACAAGTGGTCCTTTCATTAGCAAGACATCCACTTAGAGTGATAGATTGAGCTGAAAGTTCCTGATCTACATAATGTCTTAAAACGGCAAGTCCGCCATCTATAATTAGCATTTGTAGGCGGAATAGGAAAATACGATTATCAGCTATCTGTGCCGTAGGTGATGTACCAAGTTGGGAAGCCGCCATGACCAGACATCACATTTCAAGTCAGTTTATTATAGTGTCATCATACCTGTAAAAGACAACGTAAACTTCATATCGAATTATTAAAGCAATAATGTAGATCAATATTAAGTTTTGCAATGACCTGTATATCAGACTCCTCGTCTTAAAAAGTAATTCGCTCAGGCACAGTAGACTGTGTATATTAAAGGGGCACCATTTTTGTACGTCTGAAAGAATTTGGCTTAGGATGATTTTATTGATTATTGCGTATGCGTGGTCAATGACGGGTAAAATTTTAAAGGCTGTAAATTTATAAAAAAAAAGTATAAAAAAGGCTGTTTTATTAAATAACGTGGATTAAAACTGTTTTACATTAATTTAAAATGGTGATTAAGAGTTCATGTAATACAATTAGGATTAGATGGGTAGAAAACGCAAAAATGAAACTGTTTCGCCATTCGTGTCGCCAACTGATCAACAACCGTCAGTTCAGACAAACGAATAGATTATATACCTAGTAATTTACCAAATGTTAACACTTTTATCATGCCGCCTGCTTTTTTTACAATATCCATCCTACATACATAGAGTGGACAGTATGCACAATTCTGGATCTCATCAGCCTGATACGCATAAAATAAATCATTTACAAGTTAAAACGCACAAAATAGAACTAATTGAATCAAATGTTAGGCCAAGTCGACAAAATACGTATTTTGATGAGCGATTCAACAGAAAGATTTGATGAAATAGATTAAAAAGTGTGCATGCTCGAAAATAGCGTGAAATTCACGTCTGATCAGTATGAAACCTTATTTACAAAATAGAAACAATAACAAAACGACGGAACGCAATATCAAGAAGATTAAGTCTGACACCGGGTTATTAAAGGCAGCCAACAAAACTGTCCGAATCTACCGTGGACCTCAATGTAGGTCAATGACAGATAACATATAGTTTTTCGGTAAAACAGAAAGACATGTATCCATATATATTTACTGTAAACCATGAGAAAGACAAGACAATAGTATCCGTAACAAATACTGAATCAATCATGAAGTCGTTGTAATCGCCATCACTCGACAGTCAGCAACATAATGACAATGCAAATTAAAATATATTTAAAAATAAATTTGTTTTGATTGCAAATAGATATTGAAAATAGAATATCCAGAAAATACGAGACTTTTTGATAAAGCTCAAAGAAACGGCGCACTATTGTCAAGCAAATCTCGCCCTTTTGTGCTAGAAAGTCTGTGAGTGTTTTATTTCCACCAGGGATACTTAAATACTCTTTATTTCATTTTCTTGCCATTAATGGGTTGTAAACTATCCTGAGATGATGATCTTGTAAAAAGTACTAAAAAATGTTTTATTTTTTAGAAGAAAGAGGGAAATCGGCAAACAAAAATAAATTGATTCAATACAAAGTACTATGTCAGGGCTTCGCTTAATGTTGAGCAATATAAATTTATTGATACTTAGAAACTTTCCTATTTGAAAATACAAATATTGTCCCTTACTTTTATGATTGCTGTTATCTTTGTCAAGTTGACAAAGATTTTTTGATTTACAATTCCATTGGTTGGTTGCAAATTAAGGTCAAAACTTCCATATAATTGGACTTTTTATTTTATAAAAATAATTCCGAACTTTAATGCAATGGGTGACTAAAACTTCATAGTGGTTGAGATTTGTGAGTTTAAATTCCAAGAAAAATACACCAGAGTTTTGAGTTACAACTGTAAATAGTTACCCTTGCTTGTGTGGCGGCGTAGCTGAGTGGCCGCATTAATTCTAACTCTGCCCTTGGGAACTGTTCCCTCATTGCTCAGTACTGGTTGGTTCCAAGAACGGATTCTAAAGTGTTTCATTCAGATCACAATGGGACTAATACAAATTTGTATAAACTAAGTATACATACATACTTCAGCTAGGTCAGTGATTTCTTATGCTACAATAGTGAAAATGGAATCCCTAAAGAACGCCCAAAACGGCAAATTGAATATGTCGCAAGCTCGATTTGAATGAGTCTGTTCATAGACAGTACTGGAAAGTGCAAAGTGACCAGTAGTTATCTTTTTTGTAAATAACTAAGTACTCGCCTAAGTTAATTTAAAAGCCGTTACTTTGAATGTTAGGTATGTTACGTTGAATTATTTATTCCCTGGAAAATTATGCCCATTAAAGAAACGGTTCAACTAGATAAACAGCTATTTGCCAGTTATTACTGATAATTACATTTTACTACTTGTCCTCGTTCTGTATGACTACCATAGTCATTGAATTTTCTAGTTAACATTGTCATCAAACACACCGTTTTTATCATCGTTTCCGTAAACTTTTAAGTTTATACATGTACTTAATTATTCATTTTTTATTTTAGTTGAAAATCAACGTCTTTTTAAACAGATTTCATAGCATGTTTATTTTTATGTGTTGTTAAAATAAATACAATTCCTGAAGAGCTATGTATCCGTTGATAAATCTGGTAGAGGAATTGCATTCGATAAAATCTATTTACGGTGTAATATTGATGTTTATATAGATTCCTCTTTCAGGGTATTAGTGAGGAACGGACGTGTTTGATGTGGATGCTGTTATTGGTGTTTTTATTGATGTTTTACTTTCAACGAATCGACATTTAAGATTTCACTAGAATGAAGGGGTCATTATTTTTGACATGGAGTCACTAGTCTTATCAATTAAAGAACAGGTCATGATTAGTAAACGATGATGATTCTTTGCACAGTATATTACTTGGTCCTGGGAAAATTTCCTGTCCATGCCTGTATGACCAGGAAGTCAATATTCTGTAAATAATGACTTTATCACTCACTTCATTTGTTACACAGGAAAATGTGTTAAAATATCTTTCTATTTTATATTCTTTTAGTAATCAAAATATTCAAATTGTCAAATATAATGATATTTTGATGTCTGTGAGGTAAGCCCGACAGTCAGGTTACTTCAGATACCCAGAATCCGCTTCCAGCTGAACTGGCCCGTCAAAGATAATACAGTAAAACCTGTGCAAAAGTCGTTGGTTTTTTCCATAATGTAGTTTCAAATTTTATCACCTCGACCTCCGGCTATTCCCGCTAGCCAGAATACCTAGAATGTAATTGTGAATTCATGAAGTTGAAATCCACGTGTATTCGTGAAGTTAATTTAACACGCGCATTCGTGAAGATGAGCCCGAGAATTCAATAAATTTAACTATCTCAACCGCTCGTTGGTACTTAGGGGCCCAGTAGATTGTCTGCTGTTTTACCCTTATACACGTATGATAGTCATTTGAGCTCAAATGTTGCTACTCTACTGCGCATTTTCCGAACGTTTTTCTACCGTTCACCTTCTTAAGTAACTTATGTGTATTCACTGGGCTGTGAAGGGAGCATAATATGTCTCCAATGATGCCATGTTTCTGTAAGCTATAAGCTCACTTTCACAGAACCCATATGGTGGCATGCTTATGGGTTCGACTGTTTATCATTTGATATTTGTGTGTTTGCCGGAATACTCTGGTATTTTATTTTGTTTGTTTGCACTATGCCGAAAATAGCCAGAAAGGAAGGCAAAACACCACAGTATTCGACGGACACACTTATACCAGCGGACACATGGGCAAACTCCCTGACCATCCCCCTAGATAGGGTCCAGATGCCTGCAAGCCGCCGCAATATCCGGAATAGATCAAAATGTGTTTTGGCTGCTCATGTGGTCTAGCTAACTTCAGGAACATATAAATATGTTGTTTAATTTTAAAATCAATATAATTACGCATAAATAAAAAAATGTCTTACCTGAAAAAAGTCCACTTTTATTTCTAAATAGAAATATCTACTAGCATGATGTTTTTGTTGATGTTCTTTTTTTTTCAATATCATTATTTCTTTACTGATATAACATTTACTGACCCTTTCCGTGAAGAAACTAGTCAAGTTTTGTTAATTTTTATAATCTAATCACGGGTATTGTACACATATTTTCTAATGTAATAAACATAATTGTTTGATAACACCATGATCAATTGAGATGATAAAACAAATTTAAATCAATTGTAGATATAAATGTATATACTTTGCAATCTCATTTTAATACCTGTGTTGTTGTAAAATAAAATAATTCAATAAGAGGTTTAATCATAAATTTTTTTATCATGTTGCTTATCGGTGATTTAATTATTTGTTCATGAGAACAAACCCATTATTAAGTCATTTTAGATAAAATTGTCTATTTAACAAAGGACAGTTAAGTTATTTTTTCATACTTATAACATTTTTCATATCCTCCCTTCCTACTTAATGTTTCGTATCTTGATGTTTTAGCTCAACTGTGCTCATGCTGAACAATTGTGATCCACTACCGTCCGTATATGTATAAAGTAAAACTTAAAAATCTTCTTCTCTGGATTGTCAAAGGGTAGAGGTTAGATATTTTGGCGTAAATCATTTTGTAGAGGACCTCTATTGAGACTGTTCTGATTATATCGTTGGGGTCAAAATTTGCAACGTTCCGGGCGTCCCTGATTTTCATTATTGAACTACAGTAAACACTTTAGATATCTTCTTGTCTGAAGTTTCAATGCTTAAAGCGTTGGTACTTTGTATAATATCATCTATAGGTCCTCTACAGAAGTTGCTCGAATTCTGCAGGAAGTGTCAAATAATGCCCCACCCCAGGGAGGGGGTCATAGGTTTTCCTTATATGTATAAAATAAAACTTTTAAAAAATCTTCTTCTTTGAATTGGCAAAGGCTAGAGGTTAGATATTCGGCATGAAAAAAATGTGTAGTAGACATATAACAAGATTTTTTTTAATTAAAGCTCTGGGTTCTTTCCGCCCGGGGGTCACTGATTTTCATTACGCTTCTATAGTGAAAACAGAAATTAACAAAATATTTTCTGAATAGGAGAAAGCTAGAGCTTATATATTTAACATGAAACATTGTATGTGGACCTATATCATGATTCTTTAAAATCACGCCGGAGTGTTCAAAGTTTGCCCTGCCAAAGGCTCACTTTCTTGTCCTCTGATGTACAGCCATGAAATGTGGATC